AAGCGGAAACTCGACAGATATTCCGGTCTGTACCGGCAGCCGGTGTAAGATTCTTATAAACTGGTGGTTATTTAAGTCAAGTTGCAAATATTACAATTCTCTGAACAAAAGACTTCTCTTTTCTCCTTTTTTATTTTAAAACATTCTTCTTCTTGGATAACAAACTTTTATAAAACTTCTGTATATCCCATATATACATGTATACATAAAACCATATAATCTTCTCAAAAATCAATTCCACACAAAATCCGTCGGGAATAAACTTTGATTTAAAAGTGTAGAAAAAAATTCAATCTTCTTAGGTTGAACTATACAGCGACGTTGAACTACACAGTGAGATCACTTGGAGTTACTTGTTTCAAATAAAATTTAACGAAGGTGTTTTCTTTTGACCAATCTGCAGCGTTGAGAATTTGGACCTAAAGCTCTTGTAGAATGTGATGTTTCGTTTTTATGTTTATCTTCATAAGCCTCTTGAATAGTTTTAAGAATATATGAAGCCAAAGTTTGTGAAGAAGCTTTAGAATGAGGTACATTAATTGTCAGAAATAAACTTGTTTAATCTTTACGTCTGAAGGATTTAGTTCTTTTAAGATAGATAGCAAATGCTCTTCTTGGATGGTCTTAAAAGCTGGTACAAAAATGTTTGCTGATGAATGACCAGGTCTATCCTGTTTAGCCAAACCTTGTCTGCTAAAAGTTTCCCCATCTGCCTTCACAGAAATAGCTCCTCCTAATGTTAACGCTTGAAGGTGGATGGCTCCCCTGAATGTCGTGATAGCTGTAAGAAAAACAACTTTATATGTTAAAAATTCAATTGATGTTTTTCTCAAAGGTTCAAAAGGAAATGTTTGTAGTGAACTAAGAACTTTAGGCAAATCCCATTCAGGCAACAACTTTGTTACAGGAGTTCTTAAATTAAATACTTTTAATTATCTGATAACAAACGGAGGTTGACCAATAGGTGTGCTATCTACTGGAGGTAAAACTGCAGATAAAATAGAGCGGTAACATACTGTAAACCTTTATTGTACAAATCTGATAAAAACTCAGCACAAGTATTTAAGGATGCTGTGAAGGAATCAATATTCTTTTGAAGACACCATATCATAAATTGTCTTAATTTACTGGAGTAATCTTTCTGAGTACCAGTTCTCCAGCTGGTTGTAAGAAGTTTTGAAAATACCTTTTTCTCTAAACTGTCTGTCGATAGCAACTATGCAGTCAATTTCAGAACACCTGGATTTGGATGACATATGTGAGATTTTGGTTGTTGTAACACGTTTGTAACCAATAGAAGACATAACGGTTGAGCTTCCGACAGATTCAATAAATCTGGAAATCATGGGCGTAGTGACCAGAATGTTATCAGAATCAGTTTGCAATGAAATTGTTTAATATGATGAAGAACTCTGGAAATGAGACAAATATAGTTCAGCGTTCAAAAAGACATCAACGGGTGCTTGCATATATTTCAAATGACCTACCGACGTTTGCCCATTTTGCATAATCAAACGACGTTTGCAAAATCGACAACAAGTGGAAAACATGGGTTTATCTCGAATATAACCTTGCTAATGAAATTATGCATAAGTTAGGTACATAAATTACTTGTAAAAAACATATATCTTCTATTATTTTTCCTCAACATAGGTTTCCAGTGAACAAAAAAGATAAGAAAAGGTAAAACCTATCGGCGTTTGCCGACCAAAAAGAAAATTTGTGGCGAAGTGTTCTAAAAAATCACAGAAGCCTCGCAATTACTACATACATAAAATAAAAGCTCAATTAACGCCGGGTCCTAAGGTCTAGGTCATAATTTTGTGGATGCAGTAGAAAAAGAAGATATCCTCAAATAATTACCTGAAATCGGGTCCGTAATTGCTGAAATGTAAAATCGGCGTTTGCATTTGTGGTCACGTGACAAAACTTGTTCATCCAGGGTGTTAATGCCTAGAAGTGACTATTTTAAAGCATTAGTACACATATTTTGCGTACCACTATCTGATTAAATGTGTTTCCATCGGCAAAGTGATAATAGCGTCTATATTTATATCTCTATACATGTTTTTATAAGGATAGTGACATTGAGAAAAAAAGCTACTCAAATAACTTAATAACACAACTCCTGTATGAATTATTAAAGCTGTCTTTTTCATACTTCATTTACGAGCACTTTCATACAAACAAATACTGTCATTTATCACAATCCTGATGTAACAATTTTCTTTAAATTGCCGGTTGGTTTTCATGATAAATTTAATACCACCAGGGCATTTTGACTTTAAACAATTCCACTATCCCAAGTAATTATAGAAATTAGAGACATGTTTTGAATTCATAGTAATCAGTCCATAATCTTTAGAAATAAGAGGCATATTTTGAAATCAAAATATTTTTTTCCCGTATCTCTAGAAATTAGAGACATATATCAAAATTATAATATTTTAGACTCGTAAATGTCTTTAAGGTTTATTAGCACAACTGGCAACTTCCATAGCCATAATCATGAGGAAGGAAGAAAGAAAAGTTAACTAGCAGCCATAATAGATCAATATTAACATAACCGAATATACACCCATCTTCATGAATTAATGTATGTGAAAGCTGGTTTCTAGATCACTGTGTATCACAATCGATAAAATTAATTACCAGAATATAGTTTATTACATCTTTATACATTATTCGAACTGTCAGTCAATAAGTAGGCATAGTGTTCTTCTTAACATAGGAAATTATAATATATTATTTTATATATATTAGTTCCTAGCAATGTAATATACTAAAAGAATATAAAAGTTTCTACAAAAAGCATGCATTGTTATACAAATTATATTAGTTTTATAGTGTGTGTTGCTTCAGGAATAAGCAGTTTCTGTTTATGTTGGCAATTTAAATCATATGGGCTTAACAAGAAAACTGCCGGAGTATTTGACACTGTTCATAGAATCTCATTATCACAATGTGCAGTTTATTCTGAAATTCAAGGAAACGTGAAATCTTTTAATTACAATCAAGATGAACAAATATGTGAAGTAAGCAGCCTGACACCTGATGGTTCATTACAAGAATCAACTGGATGGAAAGTGTACATTCGTTCAGGTATTTTTTCTGATTGTTATATTGTATAGATGCCAGATTATTTCGCATATTTTCTTGACGTTGCTCTTTCAATGTTTTCGAAGTTTTCTTAAAAATATGCGTTTTGTACACTACACCGTCTTGAAATAAGATATTTTTGAATTAATTTACAATAACGACAATAAATTCAAAATGCTGTGCAATGTTCCGTGCATGCATGCATTACGGTTTGAATCGCGTATTTATTTAGAGACATATTTTACAGGTTCATTATAAATATAACATACATTTTGTAATAATTATATGAATTAGTTTGTTATCATATGCAGCTTTTATCATGTGCAGCTTTTATCATTTCTTAAAATAATGTGACACACCCTAGCATATAGTATGAGGTGACGACATATGCTGTCAAAAACTTCATCACACGCATTCGTACGATTTCAAACATGACATTCACGAATGTTTGAAGAAACATGTCAGTAAAGAAGTGGTTGTTTTTTATTGAAAACAATTATTATTTGAGTACATGATAAAAACATATTATGTACTAAATAAAAATTAATTGAACAATATGCTCTCCGGAGGCACGTAAAATATAATTGACAATAACCCGTTCAATAAATTTAGTACTGAACAGACAATCAATATCGCTTTTATCATTTATGCAAACTTTTAATAGATGAAAACCTACATATACGGTACAATAATTATCTAATAAAAAAGTCTTGAAGGGTGTTTTAACGGATGGTTCATTTTATCTAAAAATGTTTCGCTTGATTTCTTAACTAAACAAAATCCTTTATCCCAAGGTGACAGAGGGCGTAGACGGTAGCTTGAACCTACCACTTCCATCCATGAAAAAACTTATATCAAACCGAACCGAGTTTTTAATTTCACCATATACCCGTACATGTAAGCTGTTCCTTAAGGAATTCGTTTTCTTTATTTTAAATGTCATAACAAACAATTATTTATATATATTGATTATAGTAAAAGTTGGATTATGTTGCGGCTCGGAACCGAATTATCGGTCCCTTGAGTACCTGATCATTAGGCAGTAACGAGGATTGCCGATTTTTAAATATATGCCAGATATTTGTTTTTTTGTATAATTGCATAAGAATTCTACCAGTCTTGTTATGATTTACATCAATAAATTAATTCTCTATTCAAATAAATGCAATTTTATCTGGAACTCACTTGTTATAGCATTTAGGAACGTGGTAATTAACAAATTCATTTGTAAAGGCAAAACGACGTCGTTCTAAGCATTCGGTCCTGTAAATGTGTCTATTTTTTGTAAGGTATGTGTTTTTCAAGATAATATCAATGCAATCAGTTCTACATATATCACATATCAGAGACAAATTTTCATTGTCCAGTCTGATATTTAACGGTGCATTAATACAGTACAGAAACAGGAAAGATGATTTTGGCTAACTTCGAGTGTTACAAGCTTAAAAGAAATACCAGAGGTCAAAACCACCTCACCTGCTGGAGCTATGAGACGCATTGACTCCAGTAATCGCCTCTTACGATCATGCAGTGATTAACGGTCGCTAGAATTCTGATTCCTCCAAAATTAAATGTATCACTTTAGTTTTTAGTTATACGTTTGTTAAAATCATATTGTCATATGCAGACAAATAGGTGTAATTAAACGATGTTTGTCATCACGAGCTAATAAATTTATTATAAATCTTTTTCTTTTAAGGAATTGATAAAACAAATTAACAAAAAACAAACAATATCATTGGGAATAATAAATAACGAAAGAAAGGTATTTATTGTGTATTGTTATGATCGATTTTTGGTATTAAATAACACAACTATTTTCTACATTTGAACAAATAGTAGTACAGTATGTTTTCTACTCAGATATGTGCTTACCATTGATTTATATAACAGCTGCAGAAACAAATATGAATACAACGATGACAACAACAACAACAACACCGTCGCCGACCACGACATCAATATTAACAACACTACCGCCGTCGCCAACGACAACAGCACCACCGTCGCCGACCACAACAGCAATGTTAACAACACTTCCGCCGTCGCCAATGACAACAACACCAACGTCGCCGACCACGACAGCAATGTTAACAACACTTCCGCCGTCGCCAATGACAACAGCACCACCGTCGCCAACCACGATAGCAAAGTTAACAACACTTCCGCCGTCGTCAACGACAACAACACCAGCACCTCCACCGCCAACAACAACAACAACAGTAGTATCGACGGAAGGATCTGACGGATGCAAACAAGACGGTAAGGCATGTCTCGTGTTATTAATATGACATTTGAAAACGTAAAACAATAAGAAAGTTTTTTGGGTTTTTTTGCAGATAAACATTTTAGGAACATAACCAATTAATTACAAGACCCGTTACAGCGTTATTTGCTTTTTTGGGACGAACACACCATAATTATCAACTTTGATAAATTAATTAAAAGAAAAAAAACAAGACGGAACCGTCCAGTGAGACATGTAAATCTTTACTTTACTCCTTCTTAAAGCACCTTCTTGGAATTTAGATGCATGGAACATTTAAACTCCTCAGTTAAAAAGTAAGAAGAAAGTAATATGTAAGCCTTTGTGAAATCACAAAATGCTAAATATACATTATAAGATGATAGAAATAAGTCTAGAACAATCAAAAGTCATGATGTTTTTTTTTTCAAATTACGTCACAATATGATTGTACAAAGGGTTAATGATATCCTTTTTGTATTAAACAAATGTGATATGAAATCATACGTTACTAAGGTTCTCGTACAATAAACACTACCGATGATAGAATACTTAGGGTTTTTTTTTTAATTTGATTCCTTGCATTTAAAAATGACATGTATCATGCATAGATAATGTAATAAATGAAACATATAAATAGAAACGACCTTCTCCAGGTTGATGTAATTACTAGTCGTATCTTTTATTTATACTTTTCAAATGACATTGATAGTTTGATAAGAGCGTACAAATTGTATATACATATTTCATATGGCCTATCCTTATCTATTTCGTGAATAATAATAAATTGTAGATCTATTTTGAGAAGAACAACATAAAAAAGATACATGTATTTCATGCGCGAATATAGCAGATCTGTTTAATATAGTGGCTGATTTATGCCATGTGACAGAGTGACGAGCTCGTACATGGGCTCCGCGTGGCACAAGTCGAAAATACACGACAACACGACAGTCACCGCGTTGTCGTATTTTCGTGTTTTCGTCTGGCGACCCGCGGGGCGAAAATATGTCATAACACAAATCATCCACCATAATTTGATTAATAAATAAACATGTACATACGTTTACTGAATGCGCAGTAATCTGCCGTAAAGGTATCAAAATGCAAACAAAGTAGTATTTTGATTTCTTCCATAAAAAATACTAAATCAATATAAATATACCAATTGCCAAACAGCAAAAGATATAATCTATATGTCCAATGAGTAACATTTTAGAAACTGAAAAGTTTTTTAGAAATAAAATGAAAGCATTTCGGTGGATAGCGGGACTAAATAAGCTGTATACTGTGCCAGTTTGCAACTTTTAAAAACATATACAAATTTAAGATTTAGAGTGAAATAATTAAAGGATAACCCTTCCAGTGTTTAAAAGTTTATGCAAATTGGCTGACTGGATATTCAATTGCTACACTGAATTAATACAGTCTTTGGCTGACCTGGTTAACACAAAATAACACATTTTTGTGGGCAATTGACCTGGCATTTAAAAAAAGGACTTGGCTGAATATTCCACTGCCAAAACAAATTATATACTGTTTAATTGTATACCGATTACATTAAGCTTAACAGTATTATTCCTTTACTTTAAATTAAGGTAACAAAAAGTGCAATAGTTTACAAAATATTAGATAAATTATATGAGTTATCTCTTTTCACAAACAGAGTCTTGTACATCGGACCAGTTTTCGACACTCACACAATTATGCGTAAGAGATACGGGCTGTCAGAAGTTTTGCAAATGCAACCAGTTGATGGAAAATAGTGTCATAGTGTACAGATGGGTAGAATTTGATTGTCCTTCCGAACTTGTGTTCAACGAAGCCAATGGCATTTGCGATTGGCCGTAGATAGTTCAATGGCCAGGTAAATTATTTCAAAGGTATATTACGACTTTATGGTATACAGTTAAACAAAAATAATGATATTCAAAAAGGTGGCAAAAAGAACGAATTTAAATGTCACTAATGATGGAACAGATTTCGAAATTGTTGACATGTTTCCTTATTTAGGTATTGTTTTTTTTCTACATGAGGGTCTTTTTTCAAATTTCAAACAAAAGATGCGTAAACTGGCCAAGCACTAATAGCAATCTATAAACTTAAACTGTATATGCAAAGAATTTACAGAACTTCAATATTCGTCCCAATTCAAAATTACGGATGTGGAATCTGGATTTTGTTGAAGAAGCTTAAAAATATTCATGTTTCCTTTTGTAAATCATTACTAGGCGTAAGACTGCCGACTCAGAACTCCTTTATTTATCATGATTTAGGCACAATGACGCTTAGAAATACATGTTTAACAAAAAAAATAATTATTGTTTCAAAATCATAAAACTAGATGATAGTAAATATATTAGGGAAATTTATACTATGATGCTAAAATGACAAACAAAATACCAAACAAAAATTGTTGGGCAAAATCTTTTAAATGTTTGTTAGAAAGTTTAGGTATCTACGTACCATGTTTGTTTTATGCAGTGTGTAGATAACGAAAAAATATTTATTAATTTGTTTATGCAAAGACAAAAAGGACACTTATATGCATGACCTAAATAGTTTAATTAAAAACTCAACACGGTTTTCGTTTTACAGGTTAATTTCAGAGTTCGGATTTAAAAAAGAAAACTTTAAAAAGATTCATGTGGTTAAATTTCAAATTGCATTAACAAGATTCCGATTGTCAGCACAAAAATATAATAAAAAGCCAAGGGCACAAAACAATTGAAATACCTAGAAATAAAGAAACTGTGGTGTATGTAAAACTCTTGAAGTTTATTGGAGTGTATTGTATAAACATTGAATAAATACATTGGTAAACTTGTTTGGAAATTAAATTATAACATGAACGTATGTCAACAAAAAATAAACATACACTTTATCAGCAACTTTTGTATTTAAAGCTTTCAAATTGAGAAATCAGACGGTTTTTTTTTCAAACTAACTTTAACAAAATATACAGACACATACAAGGGTATAAAGCTACATCTTATGAAATATTTTTATACAATTTATTAGCACTAAATTTATATTGCCATAATCTTATGGTCAATTCTTGAGTTGTTATTTAACACACGTTAATATTTTACCGAAACAGAATAAAATAGTAGGGTTTTCCCCGTTTAGAAAAGGTTTTGTGCACGCGCCATTCACTTTAATTTTAAAACAATTTACCATATTTACTTCATCTAAACATTTTGGAAGAATTCTCTCTTTTTTTTTAATTCAAACAATAAGTTTTGCAACAGATATATAGCTTTGTAAATCTTCAGAATAACTGTTTTGTATTATATTATCTTAAAAGCTTTATGTTTTTCAGGTCCAGATTAAAGCAGGAAGATGATGGTGGAATATTTGTTTACCGCCACAGAATACCATATTTTATCCTACACTATATTTTTAACCCGATCAGGCCAAATTAATGTTTACAATAACTTGAAGATATTAAGGTAGTCTTACTGAAATGCTTTTCCGCCAAATAAATCTAATATCGGCCAAATTCGTAGCAAATCGGTTATTTCCAGAACGTTATTTTTTTCAAAATTTTGGGCATAAGTTATTTATCATCACTCATCTTTTGTTGCTATGTAGTAAATTTCGGTTACAAAAAGGTTAATATTAATAAAACTGCAGACGAAAGTTACTGTTGTTAAAATGTCACAAAATTAAATCAACTTCTTACAGCAAAAAATCTGGAAATTAGGGTCAATTTAAATATTCACGGTTCAAATAATGTCAGAAATGCAATAAGGACTGCAAAAAAGAAAGGAGCAATTAATTTACCGGAAAGAACCTACGAAAAAGACAATTTTAGAATGATAATACTTGGAATTAACAATTCGTAAAAATGGCCTACGTTAATACTTAAAATATTTTTTAGATAAATTTATAAGAGTGTTATATTGTTGAATACGTTTGCATGTCTTTTCTTGCAAAATTTTCCAGTTCGTAATTTATTACCATAGAGCGACACGAATGATCGTTTCGTTTTAAAAATCAATAAACAACAACTACCCTTTCACCAATCGAAACGTCCTCGGCTAAAACCGACGGAAAGGGCCAAACATTTGCATTATCCCTCCACAAAATCGGAATGCATTCCAAAAATTATTGATTACCGTCTCTTCCGATGAATATAAGATGTGGTTTTATAGCTTATGTTTCAGCTAGGTATGCTTGATTCAATAAAACCACCAAGGCCTACGTTTGGCATTAAGCGCACTACGAACACTGACTGAAGAAAGTCCAATCTGAAGAAAGAGACATCTTTATAATTTTTATACAGTTGAGTTATTTTGGCCTCGGCACGTACTAGACAAACAATTTTATAAATTTACAAATTTAGATAAGTTTTACCAGACATAAGATAAAATAACAAATAGATGAAGATAAGTGTAGTTCATCATTTAAAATAAAATGTTTTAGTATGCTTTTGTTCGGTTTGGTTTTACGCGGCATCAACATAATTCAAGGTCATATGGCGTCGAACACAAGAATAATGATTTTGGGTAACCTCGGGTGCTACAAACATAAAGCAACACAACGGGGTCAAATCCAGATCACTTTCCGGAGCTTAGAGATGCATAGACTCAAAATATTCGAATCCATTAAATTGTCTCTTACGATCACGCAGGGATAAGCGGTGGCTGCAATATTCTTATGCCTCAACACTTATAGGCAACTCCATAGCCACAAGGGGATATGCATATACTTAAAAATGAATTTAATAACTTAAATACTTGCATTTCCTAAGAAATAGAGGATGGGTATGATAAGTATTTCATTAGATGTCCACATTGTTAATTTTTTTGACATGTTATGTTATGCTATAGGAGCTGAAGTCAAAACCTTACATTATGGTAGAAAAACAAAGAGGGGTGAAATAATTGATGGAAACGTTTGTTTGTAGCATCCCTAAACTTATATGGCTTCTTGCATAATTACAAACAAAAACATTAACTTCTACAGAAAAACATAATATCAAACATCAATATTATTCATGTCTCTAGTTCATTTCTATAGAAAACCGCCTCCGTGAGTGACTTCTAATCCAGTTACCTCTCTGGCGTTGGTTCGATCCCCGGGAGATGCTTTGGTAGTTTAGCGCGGAGGAAGGTAGTCTAGCACTGGTATAACTCTCCAGGAACGATGGTTAGGAAGCTACCCGCCTATATGACTGAAATACTGTTGGGAAAAGGCGTTAAATGAAACAAACAAAGAAACAAACATCATTTCTATAGCTAAGTTACACAATAAGTTATCAATATTTATTTGTTTTTACATTAACTAGAATATCGTAATGAGGAGGAAACATATTTGTAAAATTATTTCGCTTATTTAATATGCATATATAATCAAGCACACAAAAGACGTTTTGCTCCATCCAATTAACAACTTGTATGCTAAAATTCGCTTGAAATAAATTATCATTAATTTTATCAATACATTTTACAAACGGTCATATTCAATACATTTATTGAATAGTGTAAACAGATGTGATCATGTTGATATTAGATATTGGAATAAAATATTAAAAATCTCATTTTACCACCAGGTAAAATGTCTTTTTGACTTGATATATATCAACTACATGTATATTGATTTATTTAGATCAATTTTCAATTAAATGGAAAAATTGATTTTATATAATAATGTTAATTGAAATACATTTGCGCTATTCATTGTCTTGTTATATTATTTGTGCAATTCAAACGTGTTTACATGCTTGTTTTACGGCAGATGCTCTTTTAGAAGTACACCCTCTTATTATTGAGGTGGTTTGTTTCACTATATCTATTTGATATTCTCATACTCATTAAAGTGACATAATGCCCATCCAGACGTAAATGGTGGTTGTACAAGTCAAATTCAATTTAACTTCAATTTTTTCCACATTTGCTTTCCATTTCATAATGAATCACAGAAAATTCTATAAATACCAATCGGAATACATTGTGTATATAAAAATAGTTAACGTTCAATTAGTGAAAAAGAGATGGGCAGTTATTTCATATTTTTGCCATTTGTTATATTTTATCTTTAACATTTTTTTTATACTTTATACTAAACATTCTATGTTATCTGTTATTGGTCAATAGCCATTATATTGATAGCCAATCATTTTGTAATTCATAGCAAATGCAGCTCAACATGACCATATAACTTTAACAAACCAGTATATATCAAGGCAATATTGCGCACGAATAATTGAATAAACTTAGCTTTATTAACATTAGGGTTGCATTTGTAAAAAAAACTAAACTTTTAGCAATGAGTTCAGGAAAATGTTATAAACAATATGTGATGTAAATATTTTTTGCTGGACAAGTTTCTTCAAGTTTATATTACAATTATACCGGTGTCATTTTTTTTATCTCATAACTATATTTATACAAATTTCTTTTCAATAAGAAACACCAGCTTATCATAGAACAAGTGTTATATAACATATTATAATAATTCACGTTTGTACCTTTGCTTTTCATTTGATAATTTTGACTTGTATATAGTTTTAGAATACACGGCTGCTGTCAATTTATGCAGAAATTTCATTTCTCTTTTCTGAAAAAGAAAGTTTGTTGTATAAAAGATTTTTGACAGGTTATATTGTCGTATATTAACGGTTATTTGCAATATAACCATCGTCTAGCGGCTCGGTGATATTTGTAAACAACCGTTTATATAGGGTCATATTACCTGTCAAAATCTGATCAAATACTGATTTCACATTTCATTTCCCGATGTCTGAAAGATTTTCTCAGAAATATGTAACATTTATTTTTAAAAACCAATTAAACATGTTGACATTGATTATAATATAAAAAGACTATGTGCCAAATGCACAACCAGCGGATTCGAAA